GCGGCGGTGAATTCCAACATCTGCTGAATGCCATCGAAACTACGTTCGGCACCACCACCCCGTGCCTTCCGCCCAGAAGGTGTGGACCCGCACTGGTGCGGACGGCCAGGGAGGCAGGGCGACGGGCGGAGAGACAACAGAAGCACAGCGAGCCTGAGGCAGGAGAGCACGGTGGCACAACTCGCAGGCGAATCGACAGGTAAGCAGCGGTGAATTTCGTAGACGTTGAACAATGAATCAGCAATGCTGACCCCAAAAATATCATGACCAAAAAATACGGCCGCCGGCTTTCTTACTTGTAACTGAATGTTCAAACAAGGTCTAAATGCATCCTTTCTTTGAGCAATTGATGGCCTGCATTATGATAAACGATACAACCAAATATTAAAGTGACCATCCCACCTTAACATTAGTTTTGAGTTGAAATAGCCAAATTAGGGTCCCTGGTTCGCACTTTCCGGTTTTGGCAATCACAACATCGAGAAAGCCTTCAATTCGAAGATACTCAATTTCAAAGTTGCAGCACTTTGGATTCAGAGGGGCTAATGACTTTGAATGCCCCTCTGAATTTGTGACGTCAGCGCAGAGCTAGCGATTTTAAAACCTTAGACTAACATCTTTGTGAAGCAGTGGTGGTATATGCTATTAGTTGCACGCAACATCTGCAGCAAGCGCCGCATTTTTTTAAAATGCAAAATTATTGCTTCCAAATGAAGTCGCTAGGAACAGCGGAGATCGCAAAAAGTAACCAAACATAAAAGTCTAATTATCTTGAAAACCAGTGAATATTTTTCGGTGAAAATTTGTAGCTATTCATTGTTCTAAATCGGAACTCAATTGGAACCAATCGGAATCATTAAATTTTTTGAAGGTGGGATGGTCCCTTTAAAAAAAATACCATGCCCACATCTCCCTCCGCTCTCCGTTCTCAGCTCTGCGGCGGTCCGCTGGACTCCTGGCGGTGACCTGAGGAACTACCACCAGCCGCCGACCGCCGCAGCGCGGCAGAGTGACGAGAACGGGCCGGTGCTGGGCGCCGTCCAGTCGGTGGTGAGCCTGCTGGTGCCGGTGGTGCTGCTGCTGCCCTGGGTGGTGATCCTGTTCTTCCCCGGCCTGGTGCCGGCCGGTGACGGCACCGTGCCGCCGCCGGACGACTTCCCGTTCGACTCGGACGATGACGATAATGACCGGCCGTTCAGGCGGAGACTGACGAGACGCCGCCGCCGCCGACGGAGAGAGCTCAGGGACGAACGACGGAGGTCTGGTGGTCTTCTGATGTAGCCGCGAGATAACCTGGTGGCTTTTATGAGGCGTGCTTGTTGCGATCGTGAGTGTTCGGAGGATTTAAGGACTCCAGAGGCCAGCCAAATAGCAGTATTACGCAAACTGTTGTTTATCATTTAGCGTTGATCGTACATTAGACGAATCTCATTTTCATGCTTATATTACCATCATTGTTTTCATTGTGCACATCATTGCTTTTTTACGGAACTGTCGGCTTTGTTTTGCACCCCATTGATGAAAATACAAGCTGAACATTATGCGAGCAGCAATTTGAAGTTTAAGAAACAATAAGATCGTGCATCATTGTGCGTGGATTTTTGATAAATGTTAACTAGATCGTGCATGCTTCCTTGATAAAGGTAAATAACTATTTCTTACTTAACCGCTTATCTTCATGCTTTTGTAACTTTTTTATTATTGTTTCATTTTCAATTTATTCGACGAAATCGACACTGAACACCCCACGGCACATCCCTATACGACACGTCTCAGTCAGTTATGGGCGCGGCTCTCACCACTTACCCATGAAAGACATCATTTGAATAATTGTAGCCGCAAGATTGGTCATTGTCGCCGTATTCCACGATCAGCTGGATTATCACGTTTTCCCATGACCAGTGCGTAACCGCACGATACGGTTTAGGTTCTGCGGTGAGGCTGACTAGCTACCATTCTACATGCGTGTCAAATTGTTTTGAAAGAGACACCGAGCTCACGCTGACCAACAGACCCACATTGGAATACATAATGACGATGGGAATGGGAATGGAGAAAATAAATGGGTGACGACCTTGAATACTCGTCGCCCAAAGCAATTTCAAGTCTAGTTTTGAAGTTTCAGACGCTGTGAGAAGTAGGAATAAATTATCACCATGGTAAATATCAGCATATTGGAAGTGATAAAATCCTCAAACGCCGGTAACAAAAATCAACAACGTGTTACCGAACAATTAGCAGCTACAATAGATGACAGCTTGCCGTCAAACACACATTCAAATCATAGGAACTCCTTTCACAAGAGGATAGTTATAGCGTGAGCGAACATCACTAAACGGCGCCTCTGTCAATTATAAGGTCTTGCTAACCTGTTGCACAGCACTGCATGATTCACCAAACCCTGTGGAGGCGCAGGCCATACTATGTATAGCACAGATGCGCTACCGCCTGCTAACACTTCAGAACCTGCTGAGGTTCTGCGTGGAGTCCGAGTCGGTATCCGGGGTGAGCGGCTCGTCGTCGTCGAACTTGTTGTCCCGCGGCGTCAGCTGGATGTCCAGGTGGCGCGCGCTGAACACGGTGACGTTGGTGCTCCGCTGCAGGGTGCGGTAGTACTTGCCGGGCCCCGGCTGGCACGTGGTGTCCTGCACCTCTTGCTCCTGGCGGCGCTTGGCCTGCGCCAGTACCCGGTGGCAGCTGGTGCGCGCGATGTACTCGGAGACTCGCCGGATTGCCAGCAGCTCCTGCATCTCCAGACGCTTCAGCCGCTCGAAGAACTGCCGCTCGTCGGCCACGTGTCGGCGCAGCGCGGCGCTGCGCAGGTCCGTCTGCAGGCTCTGGGCGTACTGGCTCTTCTCGCGGCCGATGACGCGCAGGTCGTCGAGCATCAGCCGGTCGGCCAGCACCGGCTTGACGCCCTGACTGGCCACCTGGGCACGCAGCTCGGCACACACCTCGCCCTCCTTCAGGTCCAGGTAGCTCTCCACCAGCGCCATGGTTACCTGGTCGCGCACGTCGATGTCGGTCAGCTCCCTCACAAACAGACCATCGTCGCCGCGCACCTGCTTCAGGTGCTCGATGATGCCGAAGATCTTAGGGCGCATCTTGCCGACCATCTCGGCGACGGCGACCGGTTCTGGCGCTGCGCTGAATGGCTCCAGCGGCTGGAGCGCTCCACGCAGCGGCTGCTCCAGGTCTGTGATGATGCCGTCAGCGTCTGTGTGACAGCCGAGGGCATCCTCCTCCTGGCGCCAGAGCGCCATCAGCAGCTGCACGCAGGTGCGGCCGCCGGAGCCGCGCCAGCGCAGGATGAACTTGGCCGCCGCCGGGCAGGTGTCGCAGAGACGCAGCAGGCAGCCGAGCGTCTGCAGCTTCAGCAGGCCCAGGCCTCCGGCGTCCGTCAGGTCCAGCAGCGTGTCGCAGCCGCCGCGCATCAGGAACTCGTTCTCGTTGCTGGCGCAGCCGGTCACGCACGACCAGACGGCATCCATGGCGTTCACGATGACCGTGTAGTGGCGCGGTCCGAGGCGGCAGCGCTGACGCGTCGTCTCCAGGAGCGTACTCAGCAGAGCGTCCACGCCGCGACTGCCGAACAGACTCTTGCGGTGCGGATCCTCATCGCAGAGGAACGACAGGATGGCCAGACACTCGGTGGCCAGCGCCACGTATGCCATACGCTGCGGTCCGGCGGCGAGCGCCAGCACGCGCGGGTGCCGCAGGAAGGTGGTCATCAGGCTGACGGCGTCCTGGTCGGCGAGGTCAGCCAGCAGCGCCGGCTCGCCGCTGGCGGCCGCGTTGTGCAGCGCCTGCATGCACGCCTGCAGGTGGTCGACCGTCACCAGCGGCGAGCCGTCCAGGTAGCTGGTCAGGTAGAGCAGCAGCCGCGTGCCGGCGCGGTACTGGAGCGCGTCCTCCGGTAGGCTGGCGATGATGGCGGCCAGCGTGCGCAGTGCCAGCAGCTGCAGCTCGCGGAACTGCGGCTCCGTCCAGCTGACGGCGCTGTTGTACGCGAACGACGGTCGGAGGTCGCGCGAGATCAGCATCAGCAGCGACAGCATCACCTGGTGCTCGCTCAGCATCGATATGGTGACGGTGGTGCGCAGCAGCAGCGCTGGCAGCACCAGCAGCAGCTTCTTCATTTCAAAGTCCTCGCTGGAGGTGAGCAGCTGCAGGTAGCTGAAGGGGCTGCGCTCCGACTTGAGCTCGGTGTGCACGGCCAGGTGGAGCAGGTCGGCGGCCAAGCCGGTCTCGACCAGCGGGACGGGCGGGCACAGACGCGCCACCGACACGGACAGTGTCAGGATGTCATTGCGCAGCTGCCGGTTCACCACCGACTGCACAGAGCGCAGCTGGTGATGGAGCGCCGCGCGCAGCGTGCTCACGCACGGCCGGCACGCCAGCTGCTTCAGAATGCTCTCCGGCTGGTCGGCGCTCGAGAACGTCACCATCATCTGGATGAGCACCTCGGCGGTGACGAAGAGGACGTCGTCGGTCCAGAGCATGCGCTGGGTGATGACGTGCGGCAGCTCGGCGTCCACCATGTTGCGGCAGTTGCGCTCCGAGCGGTAGCAGAGCGCCAGCAGCACCTTCAGCATCTCCATGTAGAGGCCCTCCTCCTCCACGCCGCGCATCGCCTCCATGAGCGACTCGCCGATGCTGCTCTCCTCCAGCGCCAGCAGGTACTCGTCACAGCTGAGCGCCTTGAAACGGAACTGGTGCGCACAGCGGCGCTCCGCCCGGCCGGGAATGATGACTCCCAGCGCGCGGCACACGGCCAGACGCACGCGAGGCTGGTGGCACTCCTTCAGCAGGCAGCCGAGCACGCTGCCCACCTGGACGACAAACTCCCAGTGGTCGGCCGAGATCGTCTCGCGCTCCTTCCAGAGCGGCAGGCCCAGCAGCTCCACCACGCGGCAGATGAGCGACAAGTAGCCCTCGTTCTCGCGCGAGCGCAGCAGCAGCTGCTCGGTGACGGCGAACAGCGGGGCCAGCGCGCTGATGACCAGCCCCTGTGGGAACTCGGCCAGCATCTCGTCCACGGCGCGAGTTATGCGATCTGGCATATCGCTCGCCTGCTGCGACATCAGAAGGTTCATCACCTTCACCACCGCTCCCGGGTTCCATCCCTTCCTGTCGCCCTCCGGCCCGGCATTGCAGAGATTCGCTAGCTGGTCTGGCGATTGCATTTTTCAAATGATTATTTGATTTGCTACACGTTTAGAGTCAACTTGATAAGTGACAGAACTTCTTCAATGTCGTTGCGCAGTGCAGCATATTTAGGAACGCGTTTTAGACGACTTTGAATATTTGCTTCGTACGCTTATAGACGTTGAATCTTTAGCTTCTTATGAGTTATGAGTAAACTAAGATATAAGGAAAATGAAAACACTGTGCATTATTTCGACAGATAATGAAAGGACTTGCCTAAAACAAGCCTGAAAGCTACGTTGAAGAAGCAAGCCTGAAACACTGTTTTAGGGCTTTGGCTTGCCTGAAAGCTTCCCTGAAAGGAATGCCTAATATTTGCCTAACATTACTTAGCGATGGCTACTCCAGTGCTTGCTCCAGTGTGCTTGGGCAATGCCCACAATTGGTCCACGCTGTTGCCTACGCTTGCAGCCAAGTATGTTCTAGTAATCTTGCAGCCAAGCTTGCAGCAATCGGCATGGTTTTTGCCATTTGCTCGTGACAGGAATTCTTGTCACTTGCTGCCGGGAGATCAGGAATATACATTCTTGGACGATACCGCGAAAACGAAATATTTCTATCGAGAGTTTTCAAAGGATATCAGACGAGTGCATGAAATTCTTTGAAAACTCGAGATAGAAATATTTCGTCGCGGTAGAGTCCTAGATACCAGTATAGCGCCTTTTGGGGCGACTAACGGAGCGAGCGAGGGGGTGAGTCTTGCACGTGCGAAATTTCGAGGGCGTACCTCCAACTGACTTGTGCACGGCGCCCTACTGACCGGTTTCTAGCGATGTGCCAAATTTGAGCACAATCGGCCCAGCCGTTCTCGAGATCTGGGAGCGGCACCCTGCACGTGCGCACGTGCAAAATGGGTCCCAACTGACTTGTGCACGGCACCCTACTAACTGGTCCCTAACCGTGTACCAAATTTGAGCGCCATCGGTCCAGCCGTTCTCGAGATCTGGAAACGACCCCTGCACGTGCGCACGTGCAGCAGCACCCCAACTCTGGCACATGGATATGCAGTGACTAGTGGGTGCCTACCTACATACCAACTTTCAGCGCAATCGGCCAAGTAGTTACCGAGATATTGCAACAATTACAAAACTGACACCTCTTCGTTTTGCGCGTGGCACGTGCATAAGGGGTCACCCACATGCATCGGGAATAGTCCAATACTTAGTAGAAGGAATGAAGCTACCCTACAAAAATTACCCCGTGTAAATCGGTCAAGTGGTTGCTGAGATATAAGCCTCGCAAAAGCGTCCGCACGGCCGGCCGGCCGGCCGGCCGGCCGCTCATACTCAGAAATTTCCGTTAATCTAAGGAAAGACTACGCTCGCTTCGCTCGCTCCGTAATTATTTCCTGTATGTTTCTTAATATCGTTCGTTATCTGCTTAAAAAAGGCCGAAATATGCATAAATAAAATATAGTAACAATAACTACACTTTAGATACCTACTGAAATACTGGCAGTTCTAATTACTCAACAGTTCAGCAAAGCTTACAAATTTTCTTTAAAATAGAAGCACTCGATGAAATCAAGCTATCCAAGAAAACCATCCAAGAAAACGTCTCGCGCAAAGTTTCTTGGATGGCTGGATTGCATTGCAAGACTGCATCCTTGGACTGCATCAAACATACAGGAAACAGAATAGAGCATTGCGAATGCAAACGACGTGTGACTGCGAATACAATTACCCAAAACTATCATACCAATGGACCAACTTCCTTTGAACCTTGACAGAGCTTTTGTGCACGAAGCTATACATTGTCATAGTGGGCGCTGAACTCGATAAGTGACTAATTTTGGGGGCTGTTTCCGGATAACTTTCCAGATTTATTGGTTCTGTTGGGGGCGAATTTGCGGCGCCGCAACGGCTGCCTCCGTCACGTTCCCAACGGCGTAACTGTGGACACTAACGGCCAACGGGCACCCAAGAGCGTCGACCGAAAAATAATATCAGTTCATTTGTAGCTGCGCTATCATAGTCACTATTGGAATTTGTCTTGGGATTGCCATCCACCGGTTGTCTGATAAGGTGACAGGTCAAAACAGGGAGCTGATCAAGAATGAGGACATAATTATTGCCTGCACGACGGAAGGATGACTTAGACTTTGTGTGCAGCTATATTTAGTGACGTTTGATTTTAAAAGTAATAGCTCCGTATACCTACTCATAAGAAACGTTAAGTTCCGATAAATCGCATGTACTGGGCACTGCTTCGCAACCACCTAGTTGAATTCGTACCGGAGGCAGCGTACAGAACTCGAATTTAAATGAAATTTGCCGTATGATTCAATTCGTTGCATTACGAAATAGTGACATTCTAAGCTGCATTACGCTACCAAGCTGCAAAATATACGGAGATATCGAATATTGGTATGTTCCGCACCATTTCTAGTCTCATATTTGCTATCTCAATCTCTCTGTCAGCAGTCTAATATGCGCACGTTCCTTGCATAAACACAAGATAGCGAATGCTGGCAGAAGTTTATTTGCTTCAGGCATTATTTCGGTAAATATTAAGACAGTGGATCTGAATTAAAACTCATTTTGTAGGTTCATATGCCAGACACAAAAATATTCGACAAGGCAATAAAATAGTGTTCGCATGTCTTCAATAATGCTAAAAACACAGACGCAACACAGACGCTCGCGGCAGCACGCTTAGGCCAAAACACTTTCTTTTTCGCACAGTGAAGCATGCCTTTTACAATATGACGGCCGTTAAAACCATCAGTCACTCTCCCTGTAACTGCACCAAGCATCTGTAAAACACCAGGCACAACCGCATCAACTCTTCACCCAGAGTGAGCGTGCAGTCCTAGCCACGCGGCCGCATCACCGTTCGTCCCCCGCGAAGTAAAGTCGCAGGCACCGGGCCGAGGTCCCGACTGACATCAGTGGTGTCCGTGGCCGCGATGGTGACCGTGGTGCTTGCTGCCGTGATGTCCGTGGCCGCCGTGCTTGCGGCCGTGGTGGCTACTCCTGTGTCCGCCGGTAACCATGGCAACCGTGCCGAGAAGCAGCAACACCACCAGCAGAACGGGCGAGAACAGACGCATGGCTGCCGGCCAATATGAATATTCCCAACAGAACCTCAGAGGACAATTAGGCTGAAACAGAAGGGATAGTGCGTCAATAAAAGTAGTGTGCGACTTAGACCAGCTGTAGCCCAGGAAATTTGATAATGCGCTGAACATATTGAAAATGATCTGGATACACGTTAGACGAAACAGAGCGCCAGGCCAGCCTAGAAGATCCAGCCGCTCTACATACATCTACATTCTACACTACAGCCCTACCCTAATACTTGTGACTTAAAATATTGACGACAGAGATTCCACATAAAATTCGGAAACTTTAAATAAACTTAGTCATTCATAGCTTCTAAACAGACAGCGATCGAGATGAACGGTGAACACGCAAAGGCCGCATACTCATTGCAAGGTTAGTTTGACTTATCATAATCTCAGAACTAAGACAATGCAACTTGCAAGAAAGGCAAAATGGCCGTTACCTGATAAGTTATAAATCCTGCCCATTCTCCCCTCACCTGCTCCACTCTGCTCCAACCGGTCGCCGCGGAGTCCGAGATCTACGGCCTGACCCCGGTGTCTGGTGCCCTGGTGACCTGCGGCGCCCCGGGCCATCACGTGACCGGCCCTGTCATTGGCTGGCGGAGGGGAAGAGTTCTCCGATTGGCAGAGAGCGGAGGAGGAGCCTCATGACGAGCTATGCCAGTATGGAAAACCACGCGACAACGCGCTAGAAATGGACAGATAAATTACAATGGAATTGATGTAGAATATGATCATTGAGCAATGCGTATTTAAGATATCTGAATTTGAAGCTCTTGAAGCCTTTCCCAAGACTGCAAACCCTCTTTTCTCTATCTCATCCCCTGCAAAATTTTGATTCAGCCGAAGCAGCCGTCTTCTGTTGTTGCAATTTTGTTTCTTTCGACAATGTCACGCTCCTGCACAATTGGCTTATCACAATTGGGATTTTTGTGGATATCAGGGCGGTGTTCAGCCGTCAGGTGGACCGATCTCACGGTCAGCGGTGTGCCGGCGGACCAACCGGACCCCTGCGGTCCCGGTGTCCCGGGTCACGGCCCAAACAGGCGCGCCGCTGTGTTGGGCCGTGTCCTGGAGACGACCGGTCGCGGCTGCCGCGGTGCACCTGGTCAGATTTGCTGCTCCAGGGAGGCACCTCGGGTCGGTGAGCATTGTACCTACTCCAAGACAGACGTATCGCCCTTAGACGTTTAGACCCGCCGCTCCCGGTCAGTCCTACCATAAGCGCCTCAGACGGTCGGACCTGCCGCTTATAGAATGTCAGATCTGCCCCTCATCAGACGGTCAGATCTGCCGCTCCCGGTCGTCAGACCTGCCGCTTCAAGACGATCAGACTTGCTCGAATGATCGGACCCTCCACCATGTTATCGCTCCCAGTTGGTGTCTCGGACTTCACTACACGCGCTATGCGGCAGTCACGGTGTGGTCAGAAGCCGCATCTGTGTGCCAGACTGCTTATCACTGACCAGATTGGATAGCAGTCCACCACGCGATAGATCCGTATTGGCAACATCTCTTCTCCGCGACGGACAATCAACTCAGATCGGAAGCGCCCGATGATGTCCGCTCATCTGGACAAAATCAAACTCTTCCGTCGTAGAATAGTAGCCGATAGCTGGTGAGTACTGCTTGTGATTGGTTTGCTATCCATTACGATTGAAATTACTAGCTACGATACAGTTACTTTCCGACCTTACTTGCTGTTTGATGTTTCGGACTGAGCATGTTCAATATACTCACGCCATGCCCGTAGCCCGATCGTAACGGGTCGCGACAAAGGAGAGGCGAAATATGTCTGCTTCTAACTCGGGTCCAATGTAACGTAACGACAATCAGTGATTAACCCTCGCCCTGGCAGGGCATTTTTCATAACACGGCCTGGCAGGGGGGGGGGTCGATGCGACCCCCCCTCGCGATTGGCTCCTATGGGACCTAGAAACAAAAAATTTGGTAGGTCCTGGAGTTCTCGCCCCTGTGCAAATTTGGTTGCTCTAGGTCAATATTTAGGGGGGTTTTGGGGGTTATAAATGTAAAAATTTCGCTAAAAACAGGTCAAAAGTTTTTCGCTTATAGCTTTTGATCTAACTAAGATAGAGCAAAAAGAAAAGCACCAGTGAAATCAGCACGTCAAGGCGCGTCGAATGATATACTTTTTAGCTTGATTAAGTGTACTTAAAATTTTTTCTTAAAATTTAAGTAAACTTAAATTAATAAATTAAGTTCAAGTTAATCAAATTGCATCATCTTGCATATTATTCGAATCGGCTGATCACCAGGAACACAATGATGCCATTTTTTAAGCTCTAGCGTCATTATGTGCCAAGTTATTGGCAAAAACGTCATTTGACCTCAGTTGACCTCATTTGACCTGACCCATGGATAAGTACACCAAACAAAGAAGCACAAAGTGGCCTGCTGTGGTTTCAAAGCACAAAAGTGATAGAACGAAGCGGATATCTCAAGTATTTTCCGAATTTAGTATTTTCCCATAGGCTTAACATTACGACGTAATGACCTCTAACTGACCTCAGGTCAGTGACTTCAAAAAACCCGAACTATATGTTATACAACTCGGTGAACTTAGCACATCCTGAAAGTTTGAAGGAAATAAGTCCAAAACTGTGAGTTGGACAGGTGCAAAAAGAAAATTGAAATTTGACCATGACCTCGTACCGGTTTTTCTGACCTGGTGACCTGACCCAAGGTCACCCGGACCTGAAATTTTCAAGTCATATGTAAAAAGGTTGCTCCATAGGCTGTGCCAAATTTGGCGGCGCTGCGCGCCGCCGTTTTTACGCTATCTTCGAAAAACCTTAGGGGTGGTCGCATCGACCCCCCCCCTGCCAGGGCGAGGGTTAACGACCTTCGAATGGTCATTGAAATACTTACGAAATACTTACGGACCGGTCGATGGTAAGGGTGCTAGAAATTATCATAAACCTCCTCATTTTCTTATCCTCAGATTTGATCAGCAACGGATTCGACGCAGTTTCGACTATGGCATAAACCTACTAATGTCCCTCCAGTAAGAACGGTAAGGTAGCCTCACGGTAAGTTATCATTGCTCATGGACTTTTCGGAAATCCAGGTAAGTAGTGGAAATGATTGAAACAGATTGCATGCTGGAACAAGTGGCGGATTAGATGGACAATCGAACGAAAAAGCGAGTAAGCGGAAGTGTGAATGAATGAACGAACGAGCGAGCGAATCGACGGACGAACGAATGAACGAAGGAATGAAATAGTGAAAACTAGGGTGACCCGCGTGCTCCGCAACGCGAAAAGGGATATTTTCGATCGGCGGGTGTTCGGTTGTTCTTGTGTCGGTTGGGTTATCTATCCATTTCGGTCGATTGCTTTTTGACGGCTAAACGTTTTGGTTTGTGGAAAAAATATCCACCGCATCGAGGTGCCCGTGTCTGATAAGCATGCTTTCCACTTCAGAATCTGTCAAATGTGCTTTATAATTGAGGTGCGTAGTTTTAAGACAAATGAAAGGCGTAGATAATTTTCGCTAAAAATCGTTTTGCAGAGGTTTAAAACATTTATATTTTTAAGAATACTGTTGCTTGTCATGCAAACGTGATGATTGGATCTTGGAGAGAATTGAATGCTCTTTCTAATGATAGCTTTTTCAATTGTCAAGCGTATCAGGTTAAGCAGCAAATCCCGTGTATCTTTTTAGTGGCACATTATGGACAAATACCATTTTAATTCAGCGATTTTTTCCACATTGTTTTTGATCAATTAGCTGTCCACAATTTTCCATGAGAGGCGGTACATTTCTCTTGGCAATTGACGTTGTTTCAACTCTCTCAGTCTGATGGTCACGGGAAAATAAAATAAAATCCAAAATGCGTTTAAAATGGCACTTTTTGAAATGAAATTGCCCTCACACTTGCACGTGGCGCGTGCCACCCCTGCACCGCACACTATTCGATTGCCCGTTCGATTCTCTACACGATGCTGTTTTCCCCGTGCCGATCGGGCGCACGGTTACCGAGATATTGCACGGGGAACGGACCCGTGTCGGGCAAATTTAGCCATTTTCGCCCGTTTTTGCCAGCCGATTTATACATGTAAAGTCTATGACGCGAATTTGCACTTTTTGGGCACGCGCCACGCGCTCGCTATCGATCCGATCGAGCCGAGACCGCTCAAAGGCACGTTGTCCATCCTTGTTCTATAACTTGCGCAAATTTCAGCGCGGTAGGTGCAACGGTGTGATCTGTAACCCGCGCTACGTAGCACCATGTCGCGACCTTCGTAATAGACAGAAACTACGCCCTCCTCAAATAGTAATATAGATAAAAAACATGAAGGAACGAATGAGGGAATGATTGATAGGGAGTGCGTCTTGGCACTTGTCACTTTTGTTTCGCCGTTGGTTCTTTATTTCTTTTTGCACAAAGTTAAATATTTCCCCATCACGTATTTTGTTTTTGTGTTCTTGTCTTACTTACAATTTTACATAATGGTAACTACGCATAAATGAATGCGTCACACTTTTACTCTTGGACAGTGGAAGAAACATCACTAGAGGACAACTCAACCTGGCCATTGGACATTTTCGACAACGAGACAGCAGATGCAAATGCAACAGCGGCCGCGGGCAATGGTGGTTCATCGAGTTCATCAGCAGCGAGTTCGACCACGACGACGACGACGACGACGATAACGACACGACCCACGACCTCGACCCCCTCCACCACCACCGAACTAGGTCAGAACATCTGCCGCTGTGACCGCTGCAATGCCGGCCGGGGAGGTAGCCTACATGATGCTGTTTATTTTGTGTTATTCATTCTTTGAATTAAACGCAGCGGTACTACATATTTGGATCATATAAAATTGCAATTTTGGACCAAGGCTAGTGCTCATGTTTAACACTTACTGTCTAATGGAGTAGGCACTATGACACAGTTTGATACGTGAATCTTATATGACAATAGATTGCTCATAAACTAACTACTAAGCAAAGAAATAAATATGTTTATAAAGGTTACAGGTCTTCAAGCACTTTGTCTACTTTCCTCAAAGCTGCCTTAGCCGTACAACTGACCTAATGCACAGCAGTTGACTAGAGGTTCCTCTTGTCAGACGAGAGCTACCAGGCATCTGCCGACTACCACTGGGGCAGCCTGAACGGGAACGCCGAGGTGTACCCGGCGCGGAGTCGGTTTCGGCTCGGCGGCGGACCCTTCGGCTTCAAAACGTCCGTCAAACTGCCTGGCGGCATGGTAAGGGTCGGCTGATGCAAGGGCAAGGAAACATTTGGTTCACACCTCCAGCTGAAATTCGATTCTGATAAGGTGATTCAAAGTTGCTTTATCAACGTTAGATATATAAACAATCGAACATATGTCACCGAAAGTCAAGAGATCGAATCCATATTTTTACGTTGTGGCAGTGGTTGGGTCCTATGACCAATGAAACCGAATTAAAGCGGGCAATGAAATAACTCAATTTATCCACAAAAAGCCTCGTTTCAGATCACCGGGAATTCCTCTATACTCGTTTGACACCACATTGCTCCTCACCTCGCCTCCAGTGTTTGCTGCACAACGACTTCGCATTTGAGGACGACTCCTGCGTACAGAATCCTCAGAACTGCTCCGAAGGGCTGTCCTTCAGCCTGTGGCACAAGGCCAGCTACGACGAGACACTCATGTACAGCGAGCGCTACATACCCCGACAGGCTCTCATCAGTACAGGTACGTATTATACAGTGTCTATCATGCTAACTACGACGAGACACTCATGTACGGCTCTCGCGAGATTAAGCGGTAGGTTTTGCACTTTTACATTTCCGGTTATATCTCAGAAACTAATCGATCTACGATGAAGCCATTTTACACGATCATGCCCGGCTTGTTACCCAATAAGTCGATTGTATCTTCAACACTTAAAAGCCAAAGCCACCGTGGGGTCCCGAATCGCCGACGAGTTGCGAGGGGCCGCGACTGGGGAGCGGCACAGCCAGCGCCCACCCACCGTCTGTTCGTCTCGCTTTCGGCTCCAGCCGGCGACGCTGCCGGAACTGTCGCGCTGCATTCGGGGCATGAGCGCGTCTAGAGCGGTGGGGCTTGACGGTGTGCCTCTCTTTGCGGTGCGGCGCTGTTTCCCTGTTGTTGGCCCCCACCTGCTGCGCCTTGTGAATTTATCGATTGTGACTGGTGTGTTCCCCGAGTGCTGGAAGTCAGCTTGTGTCGTACCGATCCCAAAGTCAGGTGATCTTACTCAACCATCCAACCATAGGCCTATCTCACTTTTAAGCGTGCTGTCGAAGATTTTAGAAAAAGTAGTATGTGCTCAACTCACGAACTATGTAGAAACTCATCACTTGCTATGCCCATCTCAGTATGCTTACCGCTCACATCACTCCACTGAGGACGCCGTGATCGAGGCTGTCGAGCGCCTGGTCCGCAATACCGACCGCGGCCTGGTATCGTCGGAAACGGCGATTGATCTTTCAAAGGCGTTCGACAGCGTCGATCACGACGTCCTCCTCACCAAGCTACAATGGTACGGGATATGCGACGTCGGCTGGTTCTCCAGCTATTTGAGCGGTCGGAGCCAGATTGTTAGGGGTGGCGAGGTAACCCTACCTGTGACGTGCGGCGTGCCCCAGGGCTCGATCATCAGTCCAATCCTCTTCATTTTGTTCACTTCGGACCTTCCGGCGCATCTGACCCATGGCCACCTCATCTCATACGCGGACGACACTCTCCACATAGACTGTTCCTCCCCTGACGGACCGGGTCTGGCCGAGCTCCGAGCTAGGCTGGAGCTCACCATGCGCGAGCTCCATGCCTGGTTCGGAGTAAACTCCTTGAAAATGAACAGCAGCAAAACTGACTTCATGATAGTTGGCAGCAAACATAACGTAGCAAAAACACAAAACTTCTGTTTCGTTGTCGAAAACTCTACAATTCTACCTTCTAAAGCAGTCAAAATCCTCGGCGTCACTGCAGATGCCGTTCTGTCATGGGAGGAGCACATATCTTGTGTCGTCCGAAAGTGCAACAAAATTCTCTTCTCTCTATACAGGTTCAGGCATTACTTCACTAGTCAAGTTCTCAAAACCATCATTCAGGCCTATGTTTTCCCACATATCACTTACTGTCTGTGCGTCTGGGGTGGGGCGGCCAGGGGGCAGATGCACAAGCTTCAAAAAGTTATCAATTTTTCGGCCAGGATTGTGGGAGGGATAAAGAAACACGAACACATTACACCGACTCTAAATTATCTTGATTGGCCGAGGATCGAGACCCTGGTGGCGCGCCGGGACGTCGCAAAGGTGTGGGGGTTGCTGCGGGCGGACGGCGCGCCCTCCAGCGTGCGGGAGCTCCTGGTGCCCCGCAGCGCTGTGTCGTCCCGGGACACCCGCGGATCGGAGGACGGCGACCTGCACCTGCAGCGCTGCAGGCTGGCCTCAAGCCAGAAGGCCTTTACTTACCGAGCGGCGGTCGCCTGGAATGGTCTGCCGCGCGCCGCCCGCGACGCGCCGACCTACCGTGCTTTCAAACTGGCAGTAAGGGAATGCATCACCTAGTCATGTGCTCACGCTTAGCTCATCCCACTTTTCTTACCATGTTTTTATCGCAGTATATGTTTTATCGTGTGTAATGTAGCATTATGTGTATGTACAACTTGTCGATATTTTAGCGTCACTTTGCTCTTACAACATGCATGACGGGAGACTTGAATAGCCACGGTGTAGATGGTCTCAACAATACACTATACACTATACACTATACTAAAGACGACGAAGATATAGCCTGAAGTACACTCAATTTTCTAGGTGCAAAACCTACCGCTAAAACCCGCGAGACCGTACATACAGCGAGCACTGACCCCGACAGGCGCTCACCAGCATCGGTATGCACGTAATAATTGCTCATCAGACCACGAGGTGTAGGTACGTATATAGGTACTTCTCGGAACCAAAAGCACGGCAAAACTTCTTTCATTTTTCACACCACCGCGCCGGCATAATGTAGTTATTAGTTAAATCAACTTTAACCAACATAAATACTAGCTCAAAGCTGTCTCGCACAATCACCCCACCAGTCACAACCCACCGATTCCTTAGCTGCGATGTCAGGCGAGCGTGATATTGACGAGTGTGAGAAGGACCAGGGTGGACAGTCAAGGCTCATTCTGTCTTGTAGCGCATTGATTGCCGGAAATCATGCGACGCGCCTAAATAATTCAAGGCACATCCACGGCCAACATGAATCGTCAATCGTGGCATTAACGATATAGCTCGATTGTGTATATATTTTTATTGATCCTTGCCTGCGATTATGTAAGATTGTATTGAAATAATAGAGCCATCGTCATTTTTCTTTCGTGCTGTTCTTACTTTTGGTAGTACGAAAGGAGATGTGGCTCAAAATATTTTATTGACCCCTCGCACCGCTCCATGACATTTTGCGTCAGGCGGCGACCTGCAGGGCACGCCCGGCCTGCTGGTCTACCTGCAGAACCACGTTCTCGGGGTGGTGGTGTCCACCGGTAGCCTCTACTGGCGTGCCTCTGTCAGTGGCCTGCTGGTCAACCACGCCTGGAACAGCATCGGTCAGTCAGGGAGTGACATCGGTCAATAGGGGAGCGATATCGGTCAGTCGGGGAGCGATATCGGTCAGTCAGGGAGCGATACTGGTTAGTTGGGGAGCGATGATGGCTTGTCAGGGAGAGACCGTGGTCAAAAGGGTGTGATATTGGTCAAACGATAAGCGATATTGGTCAGTAGGGGAGCGATATTGATCAGTCGGGAGCGATATTGACCAGTCGGGAGTGATATTGATCAGTCGGGAGCGATATTGACCAGTCGGGAGTGATATTGATCAGTCGGGAGTGATATTGGTCACTTCGGGAGCAACATCGGTCAATAGGAGAGCGATGTTGGTCAATATGGCGATATTGGTCAATGAGGGAGCGATATTGATCAGTCGGTGAGCGATATTAGTCAATAAGGGAGCGATATTGGTCAATAGGATAGCAATATTGGTCAATATGGGACCGTGGCATTTACAGGGGCCAAAAGATAAACATTTTTTCCTTATTCAGTCGCTTTTCTGTTAGAGGCGGAACTCGGAATAAGCGTTTTGTCGCTATAAAGCGTGTGTAAAATGTGCCAACCCTAACCTGCTGCCTCTTCGTCAGGCGTCCGTTGGCAGGCGCCGGGCTCCGCTGACGAGCAGACGGTGAGGGGCCTCCAGCTGTTCATCAACCAGCAGCGTGTAGCGGCCATGGTGAACGGCCTGCCCGCCTCGCCCCGGCCGCCGGTGGAGCCCGTCCAACTGATGGTCAGTGTCCAACGGATGGTCATACTACAGCATAGGGAGGCGGTCCAGATACGATGAGTCACGGACTTCTCTATAAGTCCATGACTCATGAGTCCATGGGTGAAGACTGTCATTTCGATGTTGAATGTTTTCGCTATGTTTTCATATCAACTATGTAGCTTCAACTACAACACCTATAGAGCACTTCAGATCAGTCACTTAATTTACGAGTTGATGAGCTAACCAAATATACGAAATATCATGCTGATGTTGACCATAATGCAGCCTGCAGCTCACTGTCAGTCGTCAGATGCCACCATTGTATCTCGTGCTGACCCACCGTGACCTTTGCTCGTCCAGGTGGGGTGTCACCGTACCAGCACTCGCAGCATTTACTCCGAGTTCTGCGCCGATTGCGAGCTGGACGAGGTGGCCATCTGGAGACGGGCGCTGCCGGATCACCAGCTGTCCCTCTTCAATGGAGGACATAGTGAGTAGAGAGTTCATGGGTCCGAAATCTTACTAGCATACAAATTTAGTGTTAAATGTTTAATGTTCTATGCTGTTGTATAAAATTCACCATCCATATTCGTCCGATGTCCCGGAGGTTCACTATCTGAAGCTGACATAAGTATCGTCCCTGTCCCCCCAGAGGAGGCACGTGCCCTGTCCGCGCACGAGTTCAGCTCGATCGTCGGTCAGGTGAACCTGCGCGACCTGGAGCAGCAGCAGCAGGCGGTTCAGGTGCTGATCGGAGTCCTCAGCAAGACCGACAAAGAATCAGGTCAGCTGACGTGTGTGAGCGCCCTTAGACGACTGGCTGGGTGATATGGGTCAGATTATGGGGAATATAAAATTATTAGCTGTGGAAGGAAGGGGATAAGAAAAGCTGAAAAAGGACGAGTACTTAGGGAAAGGGGCGGTCACAGATAAATGAATGGACAAGGTGCCATCCTGGATTTGGGTGGGCCGAGTGGCCGAGGCAAGGGGATGCCATTTTGGCTAGGATATTGAGAACAGGAACAACTAGGGTTGAAGATAAGGTAACGAATGAGAGTACAGGCTTTTTCAAGCCATAAAGTTTTTACCTAAGGATGTTCGGGACAATTCGTCGCGTTGCCATTTCTCGACGAAGTGTTGCGATTTGTCTGCTGCAGAAGCTGGCGGCGGCTCGGAGGACGAAACGGACATGGAGGAGCTGAGTGACATCATGGAGACCATGACCGACCTGAAGACGCTCAAACGGTCACAGACGGCCGACGAGCTCGACAAGCTGGCTGTGCGTCCGATGAGTGCTCAGTTATGTGTGCACAACAACCGATAGTCAGTAAAAAGTGCACGTAGACACTGCACTGACTAATAGGTCGTACAGTGCCATGTATTTTGTACATCTATTATTCTACATCTTGCTTACGTATACACATTTTTTACGTGAGCTCTTTTCCCTACGGTAAAAAGACTATTATACAATATACATGCAACTTTCAACAAAATTATTCGGTGATACAAATTGTTATTGTTGCAGAACATCGTTGAAGTACAAGATTTCCTTCTACGCCCAGAAAAGAAAGATAAGTGGGAGACGCTTGAGAAGAAAGCAAGGAAGGCAAAGAAAGAAGAAAAGAAGCCAAAAGGTAAGCAGATGTGTCAGTTTAAAACTTTTATATAAGAAACATTTCGATACGAATATAATGCGTTTCAGTCCAAGTTCTAACGGGAGAGCTGAGATTAGACGTTTTCACGACGGCCATCTGGTACACATTTGGTGCACATCTGTTGCAGATTAGGTGCAGATTTGGTCAAATTAGGTTCAGTGTGTCTCTTAGTAGCTATCAGCTAAGGTTGCACTATTTGCTTATATGCCTGCTTTGTCATATTATCAGAGAGTGTCATCGATTAAAGCACTGAAATAAATTCATAAAGTAAAGATATTTGCTGTAAAAGAGACTAGGTGCAGATTTGGTCAAATTAGGTGCACTCGCCGGATAGCCCGTCGTGAAAACGGCTAATAGGTGCCTATCTGAATAACCAAAGCTGATCTTTTAAAGTTTGAACTATGTGTTGTACTTACCTCCCCTGACCTCGAAAAATTTCATTATTTGTCGGATTTATTGGGCAATTCATTGTAAAGAACCCAAATAATGCCAAAAAGCCGGGCGCCTAATTGAAAGGTAAGGCTGACATTGCATGAGCCATGACTATGAGCATGATGTTATCCCCGACACGTGAACAGCCCATGAAAGGCCCGGAATCCGAAGAAGAATTAACTATTAGCCATCAATTGTCAATGCAATGTAACGATTGCCTACCGCGAAATCGCAACCGAACGCTTTCCTCCATGCCCGCGATTATGGACAGTAAATGCTATTGGATCTGACCGTATCCTGCGCCAGGTGGCGCGTGCTCCGTGCTAGGTGGCAGCCTCGTCGATGAAAGGCTCACTCAGAGACTGCACCAATGTCAATTCTCCCAGACATAGGCGGCGGAACGGGGAGGGCACCGGGGCACCGTGCTCCCCTTTGATTTTGGCATTTTAACATTAGCCCTATGGGCGTTGCATGGAAAGAATGGGACCAAAAGTCGGCAGTGCCCCCCCCCCCTTAATTGAAGGTGTTCCGCCGCTACTGCTCCCAGACCAAAATACCGCATCTCAAATTTCTTATATCCATCCGGATATGAAATGGTCTCATTAGACCACAGAGGCCTCTCTCCCTCCCCAAAAAACGTTCATTAATCTTACAAAACAAGTGTTGCGATCCGAATGTAGCAATATGCTCGTTTCTAGCAAAATATGATAGGTACCTACGTAAATATGAATGTAAATATGAATCTTAACTTCAAATATTGCGGGTAACATCCGCATGAAATTTAATGCAAGTACGATCCTTGAGGTACGTTTACACCTGTCATACCCTGGAGAAATGACTGCATGCCTCTGTTACACCTTCCACCGACAGACGCGGCCGGCGTGGTGCGGGGCCTGGAGGACTGGGTCATGGCTTCGGTCTCCCGAGTCCCTCTCAGAAGCGACAACGACACGGTGCTCGTCAACAAGAAGACCGACAACATCCAGATGACCATGAAGAAGATGAAGCTGGGACACTTCAAGGAGGCTGAGCTGGCTTCCTTCCCGGAGGGAGACGAAGACAAAGACGGCTCCGTTGAATGTAAGTTTTTTTAAAGCTTGACTACGTTTGATTGATGATGCAGCCCCTAAAGAACCTTTTTAATTCGAATCATTAGAGCATTGCAATTAATTTATGACCTCGTCATCTGGCGACCTGTGGAGCTTTTGCAAATTATCTTGTTGATATCTTTGAATAAAACGCTTGGTCGAACTTAAGCCGTTACTGTTTATCTTTTAGCCTGATCGTCCTTTCTTATTATTCGTTAAGCCTTTCCAGCTATCTTGCTAACGAAAATATTCAGAACTGAATTCATCGCGTGCATACACATGAAGGGCCAATTAAACGGAAGGTCACGTAAGTGCACGATGCGAGCACCTTCAGGTCCAGCATTTGGCGGTTATAGAGTTGAGCACCGTCACGTCACGGCACGGGTTAACAAATGCCTCGCGTGCATCGGTGTGCGAGTGATAGGGACGAGGTCCGCCGTGTTTGTCGCTGCCCGTCGAGGAGAGTTGGAGATTTCACCTCTCAGTCGGACGGACAAACGGTAAACACGTCCGAAGGCCGCCCCAGTCGGCACTTTAGACACTGCTTAACCCGGCCAGCCGACCTTGAGAATCGCGAAAATACTCCGAGCTTCCGAGGGGACCTCACAACAGGGGAACAAATGCTGCATGGCTGATGGGGCTTTCAATGTCAAGCTGCCTCACAACAACAATAGGACTCTGCCAAACAGGTGTGGAGAGATCGTTTTTCTCCCGAGTCTCGCATACGCGGAGCTGCTTGGACAATGTTCTATCCTCGGATTTGCTACGTCCACAAGCTGGGTTGTGGCAGCGCGGATCACGTAGGGGCGGAGCAATACTAGCCACGTTGATAAGAAAACTTTATCACGGTGTTCTGGATGCACTTGATGCATTGAAAATATCAATGAAAGTATATAGTAGCTTACCCTCATATCCTCTTTAACTAATCCAGATTTCATTTCTGTTGAAGTGCTGAGAGCTTAATTTGTTCACACTCATGTCTACATCTTATGTGTGCTGCGGGGAAAGGTTACTCAGTACTCACGTTCCGCAACATTCCGGTGCAGCTCCCGTCAGTAACGTATTCCCTGTATATCGCAGTGCCCACAACTGTGTTCAACAAGGAAGGATGCGATGACACGCCAATCAACATTGTGTTTGGCAAATACGACACCCTGGGAGACGTGGCGCCGAGACGTGTCGCCGAAAGGTCAGAAAATGCTGGGATGGGGGTCAGAAGGGGTCAGAAGGCACTAGGATAAGAGGTCAGAGCTTCCTTGGATGGGAAGTCAGAACTCAGAACACGTTGGGTTGTGATATTAAAATGTAAGATGTAATGTAAGAGGGTAAGAGACGGCACTGTGCCGTCAGGGATGGTGGGCTGACATATCAAAGCTGCCAGGAATGAAAGGCCAGAGCAGGAACGAAAGTGAACTTCTATTTTTTCATCACTTATAGCTCTTCGACTGGTTTTAAAAGTTTTTTTTTTGTCATTTAGCGTTAAGCTTGGTTGCATGCAGTTTCATCATATGCTTACCGTGAGTAAAGTGCCATACAGACACTCTGAACTTCCCGTCGATCTAGACTGCCCCACGCCCACTGCACCTTCCAAAGTGACAAGGAGATGCCACGATAACCAGCTTTGCCCCTGCCTCTCCAGCGACGAAATGACGAGCCGCGAAGCCGAGCTGGTGAACATAGACAGCGCGGTGCTCTCGCTACGAGTCTCGGTCGGTGACAGCGAGGGACGCCAGGAGAGAGATGATGACACCGAGACGGACGTCAGCAGCTGTTTGCCCACCAGCGAGCAGCTCCGTGCGGCGCCCGTCAAGACGCAGCTCACACACAAGACGCAGACACCGGCTCTGCGCAAGACGCTGTTCCACACGGAGCCAAAGTCCGATGTAAGAGCGGTAGTCAGCGGGCGTGCGGGATGAGAAGTGATTCAGGGACAGTAGGAGTACCAATTTATTATTCTAACATCTTGCACGGGGATACTCGATAAATGGTCAGTGGACCGTTGTTAGTTTAGGTCCTTCCCTTGTCTCTATTTCCTGCTTGTTATGCTCAACAATGCTGTCAAACGACTTGCTAGTCACCAAAAATCTCATTTATTCCAGCTGAGTGTTGATGGGATATTTTACATTTTAACTAACCATTCTCTGGGACTATTCGTACACAGGAAAAGTCTCTTTTAGCCCTTCTCTTATACACGCACCTACCGATTACACTGAATGGTCCAGCACGGTGATCTGCTAGCTATCTAATCCTCCTGACTATGCCACGACACCTCCACACGTACACCTAACAACCACTTCAACAATGTCACACAGATCCTGCGGCGCCTGTGTGTCTGGTGGAACCCGGAGCTCTCAGACGGCGCCGGAGGCTGGGACCCGACCGGGTGCGAGGCAACTGACCAGTCCACAGAGCTGGTCACCATCTGCGCCTGCGAGAACTTCGGACAGTACGCCGTCATGACGGAAAAGGTGCGGTGTGTGCAGGGCTGCTGCTGGGAGCTGCTGTGTTAGGACTTGAGAGCTGCGGCACTGGGAGCTGCTGTGTTGGGAGCTGACCTGCTAGGGCCAGATGATTGTAAGACAGGAGGACGATGAAGGGTGCACGAGTTTTAATAAAAGTTCACTTAATTAAGGAAGGTAATGAAGCGTTGGGAACATCCGTTTTATGTTGTAGATTCGCATACTTTTACCCGATTACCCGACGTGCGCTTTTAACCTATTCCATGATGAATGCAAACTTTTTCATTGTGTTTCGTGTGTATGTTTCTCAAGAAAGGGCGAAGACAAATCGTCCTTTCAAGTGCATTATACATGAATACTCCACGGAGTAGCTCGTACCTAAAAAGATTTGCTTATCCTTTTTCCTGTTCTTTTTCTCGATGGCAGGTCGAGCCAAAGCGGATCCCCGAGGAGGCGGAGGCTGCCAGGTTCATCAAGTACTTTCTCTACGCCATCTCCGGGATTCTTCTGCTTCTCTTCATTCTCGTCGTCACCTGTCGACCGTTAGTTGACCATGGGCATACTTTTTAAACATATTCAATAACTTTTCTGATTGTCCAAAGAAGATTTTGATTTAAAATTTGAAATTTTCATATTTTGAATAAAGTGTATTGTTATCAAACTTTCTTCCAGACCTTTTTGTGACGCCTGTTGGCGACCTACAATTAAAAGAAATGAAGCATTAGCATGGCTTTTTAAACCATATACCTACCATAAATAAACGCGTTTTTGCACATCATGACTGAAAGACTTCGATTACGCAGTAGGTTGCGCCCACTGCTGATACTAACACGTTCCTCGCGCCTCCAGCCGTGTGGGCGACATGTTCCACCGCATGCGGCAGCACACGGCGCTGGCGCTGGTGGCGCTGGCGCTCTGTACCTGCCTCTCGGACCTGGAGGCGGTGCGCCGCGACCGGCACAGCTGCGCCGCCATCGGCGTCTGCACGCAGTTCTTCCATCTCGTGACCGCCGTGATGCTGGCCTGCGAGGGGTACGCCAACTTCCGCGCCGTCATTGAGGGCACCGTCGGCGGCAAGCTCGGCACCTACATCTGTCTCGCCTGGGGTGAGTCCGGAGGAGCCGCGCGAGGGCCAAAGTGGGCTTAAGTCACCCACAAGTGATAACTGATAAGTCACCAGTAAAACGCCTTTTGGGCGAAGAACGAGCGAGCGAGATAGTGAGCCCTGCACGTGCGGAAGGGCGTGAGGGTACTTCCAACGGGCTTGCGCAAAGCACCCTTCTTACCGGTCGCTAGCGGTGTGCCAAATTTGAACGCAATCGGCCCAGCCGTTCCTGAGATCTGGAAGCGGCATTCTGCACGTGCGCACGTGCAAACGGGGTCCAAACTGACTTTTGCACGACACCCTACTAACCGGTCCCCAACCGTGTATGCAGTCCAAATTTGAGCGCATTCGGCCCAGCCGTTCTCGAGATCTGGGAGCGCCCCCTGCACGTGCGCACGTGCAGTAGCACCCCGACCTTAACACATGCAGATGAATTATCTGATGGAGACCTAACTGTGTACCGAGTTTCAATTCAATCGGCCCAACCGTTGTGCCGTTATTGAGGTTGCAATTTTGGGGGTTCTTAAAAAATGTCCAACTTTACCACGCGCCACGTGCGGTGGTTGGCAAGAACGCATGGTGGCCATCACACCACAGAACTTTTACGTCCAAGTGACATTCAGTAAAGAAGATCGCTTGTCAATCGGATGTCCCGTTCCTAAGATATTAGCTTTTGAAGAGCGTCCCCACGGCCGGCCGGCCGGCCGCTCATACTCAGGATTTTCCCTTAATTCAGTATGAACTCGCTCGCTCGCTGCGCTCGCTCGCTCGTAATAAATTTGGGAGCTTGCCGACTCTGTCCGAGCCTCACGTTCTGATAAGCTCCTTCTGTTCTCTGGGATACACGCAAATTAATTATGACTGAAATATATGCATGAACGTCAATAAATCAGTCGCAGAGCGTTTGGACGATGTTGGACAAGCAATACTTTATTGATAATGGCTGCCAGTCTCATTGCCCGATCTCGTCACTCACCATGGCCCCCGTTTCTCCGCGACTGTCTGCTCACAGGTCTGCCCAGTATGGTGGTCGGCTACACACTGGTCTCGTCCATGGACCAGCTCGGTGACGACCCGCGCTGCGTGCTCGGCTGGTCGGCCTCGCTGAAGGCGCGCGCGCTGCTGGGCCCGCTGGTACTGGCCGACGCGGCTGCTCTGCTGGCCGCCGCCGTGGCTGCCTGTAACTCGGGCCACGCGCGTGTGCGGGTCGACCTGCGTGCCGAGGTGCGCTCCCTGAGCCGCGGTCACGTGGTGTTCACGGTGCTGCAGACGGTGGGACACACGCTGGCGCTGGTCTGCTATGTGGTTCTGGCAGGGGACGACTCGGAGGGGGCAGCGGTGGCCTACAGTCTGTTCCAGGTGAGGACCGGCCGGTGCAGCGGGGCGTGAGGGGCTATATTGAGGGACTAACGGGTGCAGCGGGACGTGAATGGCTATATTGAGGGATTAATCGCCGCAGGGGAACGGGGGGGGGGAGGGGCTACATTGAGGAAGTAATCGGTGCAGATGGCTGTGATGGGCTACTCTCTAACCGGTCACCATCAATGTTGCAGATGAGTGCAGTCAGAACCAGCCGTTCTTGAGATGTAGATTTTAGAATCGGCTGTTAGTGTTAGGCTGGAGAGGCGCAATAAATCTTATCATTTTTGTGTGAACCCAAAGTATCAGCTACCTATGTCATCGTCCCTGTTTCTCCTTTCAGACTTACGCCGCTCTTCAGGGCGTGTTCTTCTTCTTCATAATGGGCTACATGTCGATGAGGTTCAAGAGAGCCCTGCCCTGCTCCGGACGTCGTGAGCAGCTCAAGGACGAAGAGCAGTGAAACCGCGACTAGTGCGAGGAGCAGTGAATGAGGAACAGTGAACACCAGTTCCATCCTCACCAGGCGGCGACGGCGATACAGCTCTGCAAAGTGACGTCGACCGCGACCTAAGCTCTAATTGCTTGTTATTTTGACTCAGGCCCGGCTCAGGCTTCGGCTTCGACACTTTAGTTGCCAGATTTACTTCGGCCGATGCATTAGCAGCGCATTTTACATAGTACATGTGAAAACTCATTATTTAGTGGAACCGGTCCAATTCCAGTCATAATTTACCTTGTTTACGGCTTTCTTGAGTAAATTGTCAGATTTGTCACTAGCTGGTTAACGACAAAAATAAGTAAGTAATACATACAAGCGTTTGTGAGGCTCATTTGTTGCTTTACTTATTTGTTGTATTGCTTCAACTACAGACTATGTTTTAACACAAACTCAAAAAAGTGAGAAGCAATTTACCATCGGTTTCATCTCAACATCCACCTATGTCATACGGGACAATCATTCGATTAGTGGCAGTCATATTGCATCGCTTAGACACCTTATGCAGTTTTCTGTGAGTTTAGTTTACAGATAGGCGATTAGATGAGCGCCCAATAGTACGGTTTGAACTTTGAACGCAGCCAACCCTGCCAGCTGTAATGCATCAAGGTTATCCGCTTTGGTAAAGTCGAAAAAATATGGCATCGGTTTTTGCAACGTTTATCTAAGTGCATTCCATTTGACTACTGCACTTAAGGCCGCCGTCCACTGCGACGGAATTCCGTCCGGAGTCCGTCCGGAATGTCGCCGCATCCGGTCCGGATGCGGTCCGGATGCGGTCCGGATGCGGAGAGCTAATAAATGTTTCCTATCACTTATTACCAAATAAAATATTGCAAGTAACCAGCAGCGAATACTCTTGCCATTCTAAGGAAATAATTTTTACTTACTTCATGATGATCGAGTTCCAATTCTTCGTACAATTCACAATGTTTGCTTCCGATACGGCCCCAAACCACGTCTGTTCCGGACGTTCCGGATGCGTTTTCCGCAGAAAAGTTCAACGCGTCGGACATCACTCTTCCGTCTCCGTAGCAACCGCATCCGAAACGCATGCGGAGAGCTGACGGAAAATCAACAGCTGATTGCCGTTCGGATGCGGTCCGGACGGAGCGCACACGATTTCCGTACGGACCGGATGCGCCCATAGGGTTCTGTGTTAAATTCCGTACGGACCGCACGCGTTCCGCACAGTGGACGGCGGCCTTTATATAGCAGCCTCAATATTTATTTTTAGGCATATTTTCGATTGCCACACTGCGTTGTTTTGTTGCATCAATGTCGATCCTAATACATTATTGTGCAGTTTTTTTGTTGTTATTTGTACAAATATTTGGATATGGAATGTTATCATGAACCGAATGCAAAGTAAACAAAAAACGAAACTATGTAAATACATTATGCTGCGCCGTTTGACTCTGTCCACGCTATCAGCTTACCTAAGCCGTATTGCAGCAGGTACAGAACACTGAAATAGGGTAGTCAGTAGTCACATATGTCAGCATCATCGACACAATCGTGTTTAAACACCGTGACATGTCTCCAATTCCCGGGAGTAAGACAATAGTTCACGCCGCAACAGGCCCGGGCACCTGTGGCCCTTGCAGCTGTTGCACTGTGCATTTGTGCAACAGCCGCGCTGTATAGATGCTGCTCCGTGCACAGCCGCTCAGTCACCAATGGTGAATGCCCCTGGGCAGACACCACCGGTCGGTGAAAGTACCGACCGTGTTTTTCCTGTTCCTATGCTGCCGGAGCCACGGAGACGGTCTCCGGCGGTGACCTCTCGGCCGGTGGGTCAGGAACAAATCGGTACCGTGCCGCGCCCCGGCCGACCGTGATTGTGGCCCGACCACGGGGGTCGCCGCTGCCGCCTGGTGCAACCCTCACTGCAGGGAGCCGCGTGACGCCACCACGGCTGGCGCGTCACGTCATGGGCGTTACGCAACGCGTCAACCCCGTCAGTGGGCCAAACAGTCGCCTGTTGCGCCCTCTGGCCAGAACCGACAGCAATTCCTCTACCAGCTGTCCCTCTCCCCGTACCGAGAGCAGTCCCTCTGCCCAGACTGGAGGGACTGATAACTGATCCACTCCCTTGACCGACAGCCGTCCCTCTCCCGAACCGACAGCCGTCCCTCTCCCGAACCGACAGCCCGTGTCCCTCTCCCCGGAACAACAGCTGTCCCTTTACCAGCACCTGAAGCCGGCCCTCTCTGCTGATGACTGTCCCTATCCCCGGACCGACAGCCGGCACTGCATCCGCGAACTGGCCGGGACAGACAATTATTCCCTCTCTTTGGGATAACGGCCATTTCCATTGCAGCGTACCCATTCTTACTGTTTTTTTTTTCGAGCTTGCAGAAATTGGGATGGTGGGCGTTTGTGCAGATGTGCACAGAGGGGGACGTTTGGTATCCTCCAAAGTGAGTTTCTCCCTTTATTCCCCTGCTAACCAATAACCATAACACATGCAGTTCGAAAAATGGCACAGGGCACTGATGATCGGACTTCACTCCGAATTGTCAGTCGTCGTGTGCCTGTCCGCTTCCCAGACAGACATTTTCCTTCTCCCAATCACGTTTTTTTTCTCCCGATACCTCTAAATGCAGTCTTTCCATCTCCTCAGCCCAACATTATTTCCCTTTCCGCTATTCAAAATTTGTCTTCCATCTCACCTATCTAATAATTTCTCCTCTCCCCTGATTAGCCTATCTTCTTCCAGTTGTGGGAAAAAGTCCTCTCCATCCAACGACCAGTCTTCGTTTCTATCTTATTATATCACGACATGATCTGCATTCTCACCATCTTATTATATCACTGTTTGCTTGTAGTCATTGATATCACGTCAAATAAACTGTCAACTGTGTACTTTCTCCCCATAGCTCCAAGTCCAGTGACAGTCCATCCCTCTAGCTAGTCTGACAGCCCTCCGCGCCTCTCAGCTCTGCACCGTTACGGGAGGCCGGTCCGACCGGCACAGCGCGGGCCGGGCCGCTGTAATCTCTGCAGCGGAGACGCGTCGCACATACAGCGAGCCGCGCCGCACGCGCTCGAACCCACCGCTCCGGCTGAGGTGGACCCCGGTGTCGGGATGGACGGCGACGTGCAGTGATTATATCGGCGGCTGCAGGACGGACTCGACCGATGGGGCAGAGTGGGACGGGCCTGTCGTACCGGCTGGCACGGGACGGAGTGCGGCGGACCGGCTGGTGCGGGACGGAGGGAGGCTGCCGGACTGGCCAGTACGGAACTGAGACCACCGGACCGGCCGGCCAGACTCATGGGCTGGGTGACCTGTCGGGCGAGATAAGACGGAAGAGCGTGATTCAGACGAGCCGGCAAAGGGAAGGAGGAATATGGACTGACCAGCAGCAGACAGGGGCTGCCGAAATGACTGAGAAACGCCTCCGTCACTCCATGGACGGCCGAGAGGCGGCGAATGTGTTTTTGACAAGGACGAAAAGGAGCGATAGGCGTTATCACAAGGGTATTCGCGGCCATTGGGGCGACGTAAGAAAAGAAGAAACCAACTGGCCCCAAGAACTTTAAATTATCAGTTAGCATGCACCTTTTCCTTGATGTGTAGAGAATTTACCATTATTTGTTACAGAAAATTGCATTTAAAATATTCCATTTATGCTTTTTTCATCGTTTGCACAATATGTTCTTTTACTAAGATAGAAACACTAATTAGAAATAGTTCCCGCATCATCAAGAACAATAGGGAAGGCTTAAAGTGAATAAAATAATTTAAACGGTTTTGTAATCTATGTGGAGGCACTTCTAAAATTGCCTGTAGAAATATTGAAGGCAAAAGCGCAGCTTTTTCACAAGACGGATGTCTATAAACCTATTTAACTTGTGACAACTCAGCCGGTATTTCGTCGCCTACAGCCCAGCTTTCCCTAGTGACCGATAGAGGCGCTGCTATCAATGTCCGCCCGTGCCGCCTAACGGTCTGGAAAATGGCCAGGCCAGCTAAGGGTCCTTTGCAGCGCTCCCGCTTAGCTATGGGATTTGATGTTATATAACTGCGAGTAACAAAACCATAAACAAACTGGTAGGTAGTGATGGAATTGATATTTCATTTTAGTGCCTGCATTGACAGTACTATCAACAAAGTGAACGAATTAGCCAGTGTGATTGAACGAAAGCGGAGACTGCAACAGCTCACAGAGGGATATCCTCTAAATGCCATTTTCCGCGGGGCTTTTCAGTTTTCACTCTCAGTGCTGGGTTCAAGCATCTGAAGCACGTGGGTTCTCATCGTCTTAAACAGCTTCCGTGTGTATCAGGGATATTGAATAGTCATTCAATACGACCAGGCCTGCACTAAATGCCTGCACTATATACCTATCCTTTGCGAGTAACAACTATGTGGAAGCTCAAAAACATATAGCTGGAAGAGAGCAATACCATACCTTATACAGCTCGACCTCAGGGACAGAATTTGTCACATACAGTAGGCAGTGCACTCAGCTTGGCTCACACAACCTTCAGAACGTAGGCTGTGTGACAAGTTGTGTGATGTAATTCGGGTAAAGGTGATGGTACGATTTGAGTCTCAGCCGCAGTTCACGTTTTTATTGGACGTCTGTGGGAAAGAGACGGCGCAGTGGTAGGCGAATGATGGGACAGCCTCCTTGAGATGAGCTCCTGCAAACATTCCTCGGAATCTTCGTGGAAATGGCGCTGCAACTGATTTTTTCTCACATGGATAGCTCTGCTAGCACACGCATTTTTACAAGCGTTCCCTGAGATCTTCAAGGTTGAGAAGTTTCCACGCTCAGCAGTGAGTACAGGGTCCGGTGCATGCTGAATGTCGGACTCCGCAAATTAGCGAAGAGCGACCAGCTCTTCAAGATCTTCCTATAGGCTGTATGTTTCGTTTCCACTTTTCGAGAGCAAGATTACGAATAGTGGCAGAAGTGACTGATGAGTGATGGGTACTGAAAAAACAGATAACTGCAATAGAATCAGAGCGCAAGACTATTTGAGAAAATGGGAAAGTCTGACCAACCATGAATTACCGCATTTAAGCGCAAGTCATTTTCAGTCCAGCAACATATGTTTACTTCTCAGTTCTCTGTGTCACGCGATCTAGCCTCACGGAGCCGCTCTCGTGTCGGTCTCATGACACGGTGTTTGAATCGCGACACGCAACACCCCTTGACACCGATATTGGCGCCTGGCGGCATGTCGGCACCGAACCGCGACTGGACATTACGACAGCAGGATGATGGTGCAGGGTGCGCACTCACGCCGTCAGCGTCTGTTCACTCGCCACGGTAAACAGCTGACTATAAACACCGTCAGCGGTGTGCAGAGTGACGTCACTAAATGAGTAGTGTAACGGAGTGCAGCCTGGTGAAACAGCATGGAGAGAACGCAATCACTGGCAGGTATAAACGGACGGGGATGATCTTCCAGACAGACCGACAGAGCGGCTGAGCGACTGAATGACATAACGACAGAACGACAAAGTGACAGAACGACAGAACCACAGAGCAATAGAATGACGGAACGACAGGGCCACAGAACGATCGAACGACAGAGCAACAGAACGACGGAACGACAGACCGATTGACAGACAGACCGATGAAACGACACCAATAGGGCAGACTGACAGACCAACGACAAACACCATAACTGTTGACATAATTGTACAAGCCTGTGACAACAGGACGAACAGCGTCAATATGTCGACAGACCGAAAGACTGACAGGCCGACATTCGACAGTAAAACAGCAGAACGACAGACAAAGCGACATATGACAGACCAACAGACACACAGAAGCGTCTGTCAGCTGGCAGGTGACATGCACTGGCAGACAGACCACGTCTCCCGTTTCACTGTTACTCGACTCTGCTCTCGACTGGAGGCGCCAGACGCGTCGCGATGCATTATTCAGACGAACGAAAGTGTCTGTTGAAAGTACGCGTCGCGCTACACAGGGCATTGGCTGGTCACGCCGAGCCAGTGCAGTGACTAGAGAGAGGCCTGAAAGACAGCCGGAGACACTCTAAGAGCCATCAAATGTACTTCCGTGTCCTTGTTTTGCCTACTTGATAGCTGTGTAAGAAAGCGTAAATGCTAGAGATTACAATCCCGGAACGTTTTGCCAATCCCGGGATCCCGAAAGTTTTTATTTCGGGATCCCGGGATCCCTGGATCCTGGTCTTGTCACAAAAGGTCGTAAGAATGATTTCCTTTCTTACTGACATATTTTGCGTCTTTTAGCTTACCACAAACAAAGAGGCAACCAAAAGTCATCATTAAACCATGTCATTTGCATTAAAAACGATTGAATTTGCGAAGGAAACATTTCGATTTGATTAGCATTTATTCCCAATTGGCCTTTATAAAACTGTGCGTCGACCAGTACATTTACTATCTCGTCATTAAGACGGGTTCCAGCACATCCAGGCCTCACTGCCTCTTCGTCTACGCTACTCGTAGTTAGCGCGACAGTTTTAAGCCATTGCTGGTAGGTCTGAGTGTCTATTTTAAAGCTCGCGCCCAGTGTACGTCAAATTTGGCAGCTCCCCATTTCACACTATTTTCAAGACGCCGCTTGGTCAATTCATCTCCTTTCGGTTCCGCTTTCATCACTAATGTCTCTCAGACTTTGCTCCATAGTCGCTTTGAGGGCAGTGTCACTGACTGGGAGAGCTCCACTCTACCGTCTTCAACGTTTGAATCAGTGAGCTCTGCCGTCACTTGCGTGACATCTGCATGCGACACGAGCTCAAAGACTGTCTTGAATTTGATGACCTCTTTTGTTCCGGCCACGAACGGACAAGTCAGAATCGCTGAACGATCCGTGATCAGCCTTATTCTTATTACCTTCAGCGTTTAAATTCGTTTTTACAACATAGTTTATCTCATGGGTATGCACAACCAGTAAAGGCTTAAATGCGCGCTTCCTTCATACACCATCATTTAATGCCTCCCCAATGCGAGGAAGACAGACGACTTGGCGTTTCGGCCAGCTTTGCCTAGCCTTTTCTAGCCCTCGACCGTATTAGTGTTTTGCCAGCCGCGAGCATATAAGGGGGGATCCGTTGCCCCCCTCCCCTTGCCGTGTGGCCCCTGATCGAGCCAGAGCTTCTCAGAAAAAAAACGAGCGTGCTGCCAAAACATGATCTCGAGAAATAGGTCAAAGCCAGGTCATTTGGGTCAGAGTAATGAAATTTTTAGGGTAGGAGCAAAATTGAACAGCTTGAGAGTACTAAAAGTTTCGTTGCGATTGGTCGCTTTTTACGCGAGTTATTTGCGAAAAAGCGAGGGGGGGGTCCGTTCGACCCCCCGCCCTATACGGGTGAAGGCTAGGACAAATTAGCACGTTTTTGAATAGTCGTTAGTATGAACATAATTATAGGCATATATAATCATGAGTATAGGCATATAGGCAGATAGATCATAAGTATAGGCATTATAGTAAGTGGTTGTAACTTGTAAGACGATCACATATTGCTGATTTTATGTAAAAGCCTAGCACTGAAGGGACGCAGTAAGTGATCAGCGACGATGCACATCATTTTGTAATGTAGGTAATTGTGTAGAAGACATGCTAGCTTACTTTAGCTCATAATTGCAGTGTGTTTTTCGTGTTTATCGTGCTTCATTACACAACATTAATTGCATCAAAATAGAAAAATAAGTCGGCTTTAATAAATCAATATATTACACGGCTCTCAAACAATAAAATAACAATACCGCAGCATAAACACCTACGGCTAATGCGATACCATGCACTGCTATCAAATACACATCTCCGGTCACAGTTCTACCCTGGCCCTACTCGTGGAAGTGGGACGGTCGCTCTTTTATCCTTCTGATCGAGACTGAGCTGACCTATCAGACATCCGTTTCAGTTTACGAATCCTGCAAAAACCTTGACCTTGACCTATTGGATGAGGACATTTCCGCGCAAACGAACGTGTTTTGAATTTTATCGATCCTCAGCCACACACATTTACACTTGGTTCGCTAACAGTGCTGGCTGTTGATGTCTGCTGTCACATGACTTTGCTGACATCAGCTGACGTAACTAGCGATGGTGAACTGACGTCTGCGGCGCTGTTCAGGGGATGCGGATGCGACTGGTGGAGCGGGCGTAGTTGAGCAGCTCGTCTGAGTCCTCGCACACCCAGGGCTTCTGGTGGTGGCAGGCCACGTCGTGCCACTTGACGCCGTCGCCGTAGAAGTTGTTGAGGATGCCGACACAGCTCTCCTCGCCGGTGCCCTCGTCGTGTTCGCGGTTGTCGGGCTGCGCGCGGCCCGAGCCGCCCGTGGGCGACCAGTTAGGGTAGTTGGGGGCGGTGCGCGTGTTGGACGGCGGCATCTTCTGGCCAGAGCCCGACCAGAACCAGCCGTTGATGAGCTTGGGCTGTCGGAGAGGAGAGCAAGGTTACCAGTGTACCGGTTGCTCTTAAATTCAGAGTACTTTATATAATGGTAAAAACGCCGTAAAACACATCTGATAGTTCTAAGCGTACATTCGTGCAAAAGACATGTGAATTGTAAAAATTTATGCTACAATGGCCTGAGTGAAAACTTCAAATATTTAGTAGCACATAATCTTCACTACTGTTATCAGCAATTGCACCGTCTCAGCCAGCTCAACCACGTCATCTCACCTGCAGGTCGGGGCGGTCGCAGTCGTCAAAGTCGCACTTGCGTCCGGACGTCCAGATGTAGCGCACGTTGTCCTGCGCAACGGCGTTCTCAATCATGCGCGCCTCCTGCGGGTCCTCGAGCGACACCAGGTCCTGGCAGTGCTTGCGGCAGATGTTGCGTGCGTCCAGCCAGTCGCGCTCGTGACGCGAGGTGGCCCGGTGCCGCCACGAGTAGAAGTAGTGGTGGCCGTTACGGAACTCGTGTGCGTGTCGGACGCCTGAGGGGAACGGGAGTTACCAGGTCAGCTCATACTCCTGGCGCAGTCTCCAGATACGATCGCAAATCCGATAAACCCACAAAGTAGATGTTTGTTAACCTATTTCATGTTATCATAGACTGGCATTTTAGAACGGCTGATCAACAGTATCGTATCCGATAAACATTTTAGACGTTATTTTTGAGTACGTCAACCCCTCAAGAGAATAGGCACTATAGAGATACGTACGGTTGGCGCAGGCTCGCGGGTCGGGGAGGATCAGCTCGCGCTGCGCAGCGGCGTAGGCCGCCACAGCCAAAAGAACCAGAGCCCTCATCATCGTCTGTGAACAGGAGAGAAGCGTCGTGTTAGCTGTCAGCTGGGCTTCGGGTACAAACAGAACACACGGACACAATTACACGAAAACGCGGAAACAAGACATCTAACGGCGATGGTACCTATTCGACGAAATTTTCAGCTCTTCGGCTGGCCCAGTGGAATTTCGTCTGTCTGTGCTGATTAGTAAGGATGGGGAAACTCGTTTATTTTCCTTCACTTTACCTAACGAACTAAATGTTCCAGCTCCTGGAAATCCGTAATCAGAGTAACAGATCGTCGTAGTTCTGCAACTAAAGCGGCATTGCGTACAAAACCCGCATTAACCAAGTTCTAAGTTATCTTCTTCTCAGAAAAACGAAATCCTTGGTTAAACAAACAGTCGAAAAACGTCAAAAAAAAAAAAACTATCAGCATATCAAGCACAAGGGATTTCTGATTGATATCAAAATTAAATTCTTCATGGCCAAGCCTTTCATTTTATCTGGTGGATGAGTGCTGCCGAGGAACACGAGAGATTAACCGGCGCAGCGGCTGCGCCGGTGACTGGTGACTGTGAGTCATCCCGTCACAATAAAGACGCCAGCAGAAGAGGTGCGGACACTGGGTGTATTTTTTTACGGTGGTGCAGATAATGATCAGAGCACAAGGGTCCGGTCAGACACTGAGCCGACTTACACCAGAGAAGGTCCTAATCTCCAGCGAGGGAATACCTTCAGATGGAGGGATGGGAGAGCACGTCGCTGCCCATCATACGTTAACAAATAAGAGCGTTTATGTTTGATTTTAAGCACGACTCTTTATAAGAAATAGGACGTTAACATTGCTGGACGGAGAGCCAAACTGAATTTCTAGATAAATGATGCCGAAAGCTAACAGCGTTGCAAGTAACAGTGCTGTGTTTTTCTTGCGTTATTTATAACTTCGCCAGGTATTTAACCGTTAAAGGAAGCTATATACCAAGGAGGAAGAAACAATCTGCCAGTGTTCACGCAGTACTAAGTATCCAAGCACACAATAACAACTATATATGGCTCTGCGCTTCATGTCATCAATAGTCCCATCATGAGGATATGGAGGAGACCAGTAGATTAATTGCTCTGCATACCTGAATCTTCCAGCCTTCTCCTGCACAAGTCCAGTTTTCGATCCCGCTATGTTGCCGGTTCCGTCTGTGCACTGGGAATCCAGTAATCTCATTTTTGCTATATTTTGTCCTTGGTGAGCGGACAATGAAAAGATGACATCCCAGGCAAACCGGCTTCCCACACCCGATCCCCGCTTCTGCGTGAGAACAAAGACGCTCGTGGCCCACGGGACCTTGGCGGCATTCCAGTGTTCTGGACGGCGACCCCGGTCCTAATCGCGTTGTTGACAGCGCCCGCTGTTTACTGGTAGCACCCCTTTCGTTCGCCCCTCCACGACCCCTCCCGCACATGAACGGTCACACAAGAATACTCCATGACCTTGGGAGAGAATATCGGCCGGTCGCAGTGAAAGTGAGAGCACCGAAAGCCCGCCTCGAGAGGATGCTCTGCTGATCCCCGGCTGGGGCGGTCCCCCTGTACGGATTCTGCGAACGGGAGTGGCCCGTTTGAGACGCCGCGAGGAGATGAGGCAGGCGGTGGATCTGCGGTGGATGGAGAGGGGGGCAGATCTGCACCGTCCAGTGGAACCAGCCGAGCAAAAGTGGCTGCACGTGCCCAACCAGCCACTTTCCCAGCCTGACGAGAAACAGCTGCAAGTGCGAACTACTCAATAGCGCTGCCACGATAACCGCAATATAGGTTACGAAAACGCCCCAGTTCCGAGTGCTTTCTCAGTTTCTCAGAGAGGGGTCCAGAAACACAATCAGGAAGCCCATAAGGGGTCCGCTCCTGCGCTGCAAGGAAGAAACGGTCGTATGTATGGATGACTGACGTTCATTATTGTGTGTTAATTGTTATTACGCGCAATTTGCTGCTTACATAGGCTGAAAGATGATGTAAAATATCTTCAAGAAGCTCAAACATTTCCTTTGCTTTTTACGATTTATACGTTTTGGCTGAAACGAGTAGCTATTATGCGACATTTTACTTGCAAAATGTAAAATTGCGTCGTGCGTTGATTACATTTAAACCTGTATTTCAAACGTGACGGAGCAAAAGCTAAAATTATTGATCAGTCACGCCAGTCACAAACATTTACCGTGATCATTTATTTGCTCTTTTCGCCAGTTCTCATTTTGAGATGTTCCGAGGCCGTGCCCTTTTTTAGGGAACAGAGTGAAGAGATCATGAACTCAAATTCCTTACGACCAGTTAACCCTCGCCCGCACATGGGGGGGGGGGGGTGGTTGCCACCCCCCCCCCCCCAGGCAGTCTTTCTGCTCTGCACTCAGCATTTTTAGAGCTAGAAGGCTGATTTTTTTTCGTATAGCTGCTCGTCTATCCTTTCTTGATGTCCACTGAAAATTTCAAGTTTCTGTGATTTTTGGTTTCGGAGATATGACCTTGTTTGTCAGGTCATGTCATGACCCAAATGGCCAATTCTCAACATCTTGCGTTTGCCATGGGCCTTGTGAGCTTTTGACACCCTGATTTCGGCCTTTTTTGCCAGTCTTACCTCCCACCTATCATGGGACATGTTGTTCGACGATGTACAGGGGTCAAGGTCAGGGTCAAGGTCAACCTAGGTCATCTAAGATAATTGCGTTTTAGGCAAGCTGAATTTACTTTTTGTGAAGTTTTTTGACTGCATTTTTGGTAAAAGCTTCTCAGATCATGATTTCATGTGATATGGACCCAAAAACAATCGGTGCACACATCAGTATACACACAGACACACACAGACATACACACACATATAATTGACCTTGACCTAACTTGACCTGAAATGACCTCAGCAGCAAAATTCTAGTCGGATAGTGTGACAAAGAGGTTCTAGCTGGCTTGGCACCAGAAAACAGCATCGTCATCGGTATTTGATAAGCAGCGCACTTGATATCCAACGGTGACCCAAAACAGCAACATTTTTTAGTTTGACCTGACCTGGAAGGCCAATGACTGACCTGAGAAGGTAAAACTGGGTACCATTGGATTCGTCTCTTCCCAAAGAATCTTTTTGGTCTTTACTGCTAAGCTCTATCTCCAACAGGAACGAAATGGCGCGGGGGGGGGGGCAACCACCCCCCCATGTGCGTTCTAGGATGGGAAAATGGCATGTGCGGGCGAGGGTTAAAGACGCTGTGCTGCATATCCAAAATATACTTTAGTTCCGGTTTGGCATGTGAAAGCCGCCTGGTACACTGCCTAGTGCCTAATCAATGCATGCGAGGCTGCATACATTCAGCGTCTGAGAAATTCGCCTGTAGTACAACTGGAGCCGGTCGCGGGCAGCGGGCGGACGCAGAGCCGGTCCAAAAGTGGGCTGCGCTGCCGCCTGACACGTGCCTCAGCTATCACATCACCTCTCGGATGTCGGTCACGGACCGGAAGAAGCGGGTCAGAGGTGCCGCCGACCAGTACATGCAATTCAATGGTCAGCGGCACGCCGCTCGTGCCGCATGCAAAGAATACCTTGGCAGCAGTCGCCAGGATCCGGAGATGAGCATAGCTTGTTTAGCGTAACTGTAGTGTCTGTATGTAATGAGAAGCTGCGCTGTGGCGGAAGAGCTACGAGCAAAGGCAGTGCCATCTGATGAGGGAAATGTTGCAAATGCCTTTGTTTTCAGAACTTCTTTTGCGAAGTGGACACCTTTTGTCTCAGGAATCTGATGACCCTGGTTAAGGTGCACCACAAAGCTGCACAACTGACATCACAAACAGAATGTAACAACGACTCGCTGCACTTCGTGAAGCTGAGAGAATATCCATTGGCCTGGTTCTCGGTGGCTTGGTTTTAAGACTTTAAAAACAAATACCCATACCTACGTCAAAGCGAGTTAATTGTTTCAGAAAAAAACATTGTTTTAAGTATTTTGTTTAGCGACGTAATTGAAATATTTAAAATGAACACTTGCGAAATCATCTAATAATGTCCTGCAGAGTGCAGAATTTACGTCAAATGCTAATAAAAACGGTATCTCATAAGATGTTTCTTGTGGGCCTTCCTTCCTTTGCAATGCAAATGAGCTACACGCGTTGCATCAGCCCGCGACAGGACTGTATTTTATGCGCCGAGTGACCCAGTGCTCGACAGCAGCCGTCCCGGCCGGTCAGACTGTCCTCTAACGGTGTCTGTCCTGTCAGATGACTGCTGTCAGGCTCGGCGTGTCACCGGTAACACACCTCGGTAGCAGTGAGCGAGGGCCTCCGAGCGGCGGCGTGTGGCCGGGATTAGGAGCCGGAACTGCCCAGACATGGATGTCGGACCGGTCACCGCCGGCTCCCGGCGCGGCGCGCGGGGGTCCGGCAGGGGGAGGGGGGCGGGGGGGGGGGGGCGCACCGAGATGTGCCAGTGCTAATAGAGAAGACGGCCAGAGGACTGCCGCAGGACAGTGTAGGCTGTTACGTTACAGGCTATTTGGGACAATGCAAGAGGAGATACAGCAAAGCCTGTGAAATCAGTAGGCGGAACTATGGTCATGAGTACCCAAATATAGGAACGTTCCCATTTTTGGGAACGGAGTTCCCAAATATGGGAACGGGCGTTCCCATTTATGAGAACGGAAGGCAATTTTTCGGCCGTTCTCCCACTAAAACTCAAAAGTGCATCACGTCTCAAAAAAGTGCACGCTGATTTAAGTATCTACTAAATCTCCATAAAGTTATCCTTAATCTGACCGTGGAACAAGGAAATTGACCGTGGAATGATATTTTTAATGATTTTTTGAAAATGACAGAATGGTGGAAATATGGGTTATACGACATTTAACATGCAATTTTAAGGAAAATGAAGCATTTTTTAGTTTGAGGTAAAGTATAATAATTTTCGCCTGGTTATGAACTTTCATACTATCGACACCAGATGCTGACAAATGCAAGCGAAGACGCGGACGGTCCCGAGGTAATATTGTTGACTTTTGTGTCGGGGCGGACGACCGCGTGGAACGTGAGTGAATTTACCGAGCTACTGTTGTAAACTCAGTTTAAGCGGTTGAAAATTATCCAGCTGTATTTTATCATCCCGGAAAGACATATTTTATTTGGATGCTAGCTGTTTAGAGCTGTTTTATAAGGAGCGTCATGAGCGTGGTTTTTGTCTTCCGTGTTTCTAAGCGTGATCGTTTTGGGGGAATTTCTCTTATATAGCTCGCTCTGTGTGGCTTATTTATAATTTTTATGCTGATTTCGATAATTCCTCGTGCCCATCCTACCAGGCCTTTTGCCACTTACACTCGCAAGAAAGGAAAAAACTAGATTTTCATTGGGACTAGGTGTTTTGAGGGTGTGACATATTCAGCGTTCCCATTTTTGGATACTTCCTTGTACTCGTCAACTATCGGTGATAAACAGACAGGTGCTTGACATGTCTCCACCCTCAGCGCGGACGGTGGATATAGGTATGGAAGACCTTGTTGAACATCGCTGAGCGTTGTGAATTACGTAATCCTGCAGAGGGGGGCGTGCCCGCTGCGAGATCGACGGGAATAAAAGCGCAGAAGACCGGGCGAAACATGCGACGGTCTTGCCGGAAAGGTCATCTGATGATTGTTGCGTTAACAATAATTTGCGGCGTTGGACGTGATGCTTGTTAATGAAAAGAGCCCCTGAAAGGCGTCGGTGAAATCGTTCCCAATTTTGGGTACGCCGTTCCCATAATAAGGAACGCTTGCAGCGCCAGTGTACGAGAGCGTTCCCAAATTTGGGCTCGCGGCCCGGATGATGGACTGCTTTAGAAATAGGGGAACGATTTGAAACTACGATGGGCCTTACAATATCAAACTCTTTCCCAACAATATTGAGACAAATATCAGGCGGTTCACGATCGTTTTATATTTTTTGGACGTCATTTAACGGTTCTTTTTCTTGTTTTAAATAATGCCTACATGGCGTTCCCATATTTGGGTTTATCGTTCCCAAACATGGGAACGAAAATGCGTTCCCGAAAATGGGTACGCTTGACCATAGTTCCGCCTACTGAAATAGAAGTCATCCAGAGACCGACTTCAGTTTCGTGCGGAGGATCACTGCAGTAGCCTCGTGACCGGGAAATTCATGCAAAATATCACTTACGCAATATTTCCACATTAGATCATCCATACGGAAGCTTCAATGATGCACAATTGCATGCAATCTTGCAGCACGGGTTACGCCACGTCGTTAAACTCATTCCGGTGCACGTTACAGTCGGCCGACATGCAAAGTGCAAACTCAAGTCCCGTGCTTGGAAAGGTTGCAACAGAAATGCAAAATGGAATTATATAGTGTCCCTATAAATAGGATGGAAACACCTGACACGCTTTATGAAGTCAACCAAATCTAACGATATGCGACTCTTGAGCTTTGTATTGCAATGACAAATACTATTATCTTTTGCAGCCATGTAGTAATTGTAATGTCACCATATTATCCTCACTTAATGATTTTTTTCTTTGAATGAATTTAAATTTCTTGTGAAAAATTTGATTGCATGAAATTCCTTTGATTTGATTGAATTAAGCAGCCCAAGCAGTCACGATATAACTGGATTTTGAGCAAATGACAGATGTATCGCTATTCACAAGTTTAATAAAACCAATTACAATAGGTAAGCCTGAAAACATTCAGCGTTCTGTTCACATGAGCGTCTCAAGGCGCAGAACAGCCTGGCAAAAAAGGATGTGCAGCAGAAAACGTTAAAAGGCCCCGTACTTTGTTCCGGCATAAATCGGCCATATTTATTCTGTCGTTATCATCCAAAACGTCAGCACCACACCGATTCGTGAAGCTGAGCTGATATAACATCGCAGAAGCCCGTCGGCGACATGACGGCTGAATCACAAGTCGAGAACCATTACCACCAGAAACACGCTCACACCCTTTGCTACCTGCACGGGCATTCCAATCTCCAGTGGATTCCATCCGTTCAAAAGACCACAGATCGTCCTCTATTCTCACCTGGCAGTAGGTGTATGTGTGCCTGGACACACGGCGCGCAGAAAATTCCACCAGGCCCGCGGCTCCGGCACTCCTCGGTCCTCCTCTGCCACCTCGGTGCACAATGAAGCTGCGCGCGCCCGCGTCCGCCCACTTATATGAACGCGGTACCGGCCCGTCACCGGGGCCGCCGCGCCGGTCAGCGCGCATGCGCACAGCAACTCCGCGCGGTCACTGCACAGCCGCGGCGGCCGCGAGGACGGCTAGGATAAGGACGATCACGCGGAGTGGGATGAATGTCTATTCTATTCATCACGCTAGATTTGCACCAGCACTGAAATGTGCAAGATGTTGAGCTGGCGTTAATTGCCCCGTGTGATATCACTATAAGCTGAGATGCTACAACTCTCTATTTGCTGCAATACAATATTATTATGCTGGTTTTAGACCTGACGATTTAACCCTCGCGGGCCCGGGGGGAGCGTTTTTCGCCCCCCCCCACCTGGCGAATATTTGCGATAGCTCCTGAACGCTTAGGGATAGGAAAGCGAAACTTGACGTCACAAGGTCCATTTTTCTAGACCCCTGCACGGCAAACTTCGGCGTCACAGACGCAAACTTCAAATGGCTGCTAAAAATAGAGTTTTAGAGATAAAGACAAATTACGAGCACGGCTGTGTAGCGTTTGACCTAGATAAAAATAGAAAAATAGTTTTGGTGACCTGAGGTCAGAGGTCAGGGATCAACGACCCCGAAATGTGGTTTTAGTTTTTCGCAAATAACTTCGACAAAAAAGGTCCTAGAGCTACAGCGGTGGTACCATCGCATTCGCCTTGTCAAGCCGCGTCGAATGATATATATTTTGTTCGGAAAAGGTCATGTTTTATGTTGACCTCATGTGACCTCGAAGGACCTCTGGTTGACCTTGACACATGAAAGGTCGTTTATGATGGATTTGTACCCGCTGATCACGAGTCTGGCATCTATTTTCCTCTAAGCCTTCATTTAGAGCTTCCGGACGGCAAAATTGTCTTATTTATTATTACTAACTTGAATCAGTGAAATAGCCTCTAGCAAGGACACTCTTCTGTGACCTTGACCTTTGAGCAGCCTTTTATCGTAAGATGAACCACAAATAGGGAACTGATAAGCCTCAAAACATTTCAAAACATTTTGGAAGTTAGCATGCAAGATGTACGAAAAAGTGCAAAGTTTGAGGTCAATTTTGGGCGTGACCTGGACCTTGACCTTTAATTTTGAGCACATTTTCAGAATCCTCAGATTCTATTCTTTCGTTTGACACCCAATTTTGCCGGTTTGATGCATCCCGCTGTCCTCTAGAAGGTTTACTTTGAGATCATGTACACATATGCCGGTTTTGCCTTTGACCTTGACCTCTGACCTTGAAAATTGACCTGAGGTCAAAAATTTTTGGTTGTCTCAGAATCGTTTCGTAAGGAACTTTCGTTTGGTATCGCTAAATGTTTCCGTAGCTCCCTTATTTACGGAGTTAGATGGGGGGGGGGGCGAAAAACGCCCCCCCCCCCGGGCTGCGGTGGTTGGGATTACCCCCGGGCGCGGCCGGGCATTTCTGAAAGAAAAATTGTAATTTCTTGCACAAAATTGCAACACGAAACTGTACATTGACATGGCTCTTATGCTTGGTGATTTAGTTTGAAGGCTTGCCCTAGTGAAAAAATTCTACAGGATTTGTACCAAAATCCTGTACGTCCCTACAGGGTCGTGCAGGGTTGCTGGAGTAGCCGTACAGGATTTCATGCAGGCAACTATGGCTGTACATACATGGAATCCTACAGGGTGCCCTGCACGACATCCAACAGGGGACCCTGCACTGAATCCTATAACAAGGAGCCCTGTATCAGATACTGTATACGGTATCTGATAGGGAGCCCTATAGGGAATCCTACAGGACCCTGTAGGGAATCCTTCAGGGAGTCCTGTATGCAATGATACAGGGAGCCCTGTGCGCAGTCATACAGGGAGCCCTGTACGCAGTCATACAGGGAGCCATGTACGCACCCATGTGAAGTCATACAGGGAGCCCTGTACGCAGTCATACAGGGAGCCATGTACGCACCCAACTGAACTTAGCAAAAATATAAGGAAACGCGACAGACTTTTTAAACAAGCAAAACGATCTAACACTAATTACGACTGGAATCGCTGGAAATATCAAAGGAACGTAGTGACATCATTAAACAGGGAAATGAAGAGACAGCATATAGAGAAACAGGTTCGTAAGCTTTTAACTCATAGACGAGACCCTTACAAATATCACCAGACGTTACGTGAAATAACAGGACGCAAAAAGATTGATACCATCCCACCATTTGAAGGAAAAGACGGAGAAATACTAACTGACAGCTACACAAAGGCTACTCTTTTAAACGAATTCTTCGCCAAACAAACTAAAACTGACAGCAATGGGACGCTCTCGCAGACAACACTCCGGAGAAGAGCTACTACGCCGGTGCCCACTCTAAGCAAAATTACAACACCTGAAAGAGAAGTTCTCCAAATTCTAAATTCCCTAGATGCTAACAAATCCACTGGCCCAGACAACATCCCTGTGAAGCTTTTAAAATTAACCGCTATCTTAATTGCGTCTCCTTTGTCGAAACTATATAACAAATCACTAGCGTTAGGCGTTTATCCTTCCAAATTCAAAGAGGCTAATATCAAACCAATATTTAAAAACAAAGGTTCCCCATCCGAACCAACAAACTACCGCCCTATAAGTCTCCTATCTTCCTTGTCCAAGGTCTTTGAAAAAGTAGTTCACAAACATATTTATGCACATCTTTCTCATCATAATCTCTTGACAGATAAACAGAGTGGGTACCGGCGAGGCCACAGTGCAGAACAGCAATTATTATACTTGACACATAGTTTATACAAAGCAATGGACTCAGGAAGCGATTTTACTGCCATTTACCTAGATATTTCAAAATACTTCGACAAAATTTGGCACGAGGGACTTTTGTACAAATGTAGACATGAATTTGGCATCATTGACTCACTTTATGATTGGCTAAAATCATACCTATCCGACAGACGACAGCGAGTCCAGATCGGCGACACTTATTCAAAAACGGAAATTATTAATGCTGGATGCCCACAGGGTTCGGTGTTGGGTCCTCTGTTGGCACTTATTTACCTTAATAACCTCTCTACTAAGACACAAAACGGCATTTTGTTTTTCGCAGACGACGTATCGCTTTATGCCTCCCATGCAAAGCATAATTTGAATGTAGCGCAAACATCATTACAAAACGATCTTAACGAAATACAAAAATACGGAGAAGAATGGGCGATAACTTTCAACATTAGCAAAACAATACAACAGACATTTTCACGCAGTCAGCAAAACACACCACCTGCTCTTACATTTGGGGACGATATAATACCTATCCACGAAAATCACGCTCATCTTGGAATGACCTTTTCAAAAGACTTACGATTTCATCAGCATATTCGACATTAGGGCCCCCTAATGAAGTTTAGTGGCTCGACGAGGCGCGAATTGAAGACTCCGCGAGCCGCCTGGTCCGAGGCAGGGTCGGGAGAACACTCTGTGAGGAGGGGGCGAGGACGGGGAGGGAGGGGGAAACGGGACGGAGGGGACAGCCGTCAGTCTGCGGCAGAGGCCGGCGGGGAGCGGAGATGGACCGCGGACAGCGCGTCCCCCGCCCACCATCCCCACGCAGCGGCCCCTCTTCCTTTCTTTTTCTCTCCTTCTCTCGTTTTTTTTTTAAACTCCACTCCTGCTTCGTTGTCTTTGTTAGTTGTCCCCAGTAATAGATACCGTCGTCTCACCCAAGGTTGTGGTAGAGGAGCGCAACCAAAAAGTGGGTGAGTACGGCCAATAACAGCCAAATGGGAATGGGAGCACGGGACAATGGCGATAGAGGAGGAAACACTAACAATGAAATTTGCAAAAAGGTAAACAGAACCCTGAACCCATTGTATTCCATTGCTCCGTACATCCCCAGGGAAATTTTAGATAAAATTTACAAAACATACACGAGACCACATTTTGACTTTTACGACACTGTTTATGACGGACATATTACGCTCCAGGACGCACAGAGACTTGAAGTTTTACAAAACAGAGCTGCTCGTCTTGTGACTGGCACCTTATTTAGAACACCGACCGACAAGTTGTTGAGAGATTTAGGCTGGGACAAGTTAAAAACAAGAAGAAAGATACACAAAATAACATTATACACACACTCAACAACCGCATGCAAAACACACCCAGCTATATCCGATCAATCATACCGGACACCCGCTCACAAAGGACAGGAAGAGACTTGCGAAATCACAGCAACCACACAATCCAACCACACCGCACCGCATCCTACCAATCCTCGTTCTTTCTATCAACAGCTAAAACATGGAACCACCTCCCAGAATCATTAAGATCCTTGTCTCAAACATCCTTCAAAAAAGAAATCCTTCAGCGACTAGGGGTGCCCAAACCCCCAGACTACTACAAAATTGGCTCTAAGACCGGAAATATTTTACATACCCGATTAAGAACTGATATGTCTTGCTTAAACTCACATCTATTTCAAATAAACAAAACAGATACGCCTGAATGTTCTTGTGGTCATTTCAAAGAAGATGTACGTCACTACGTACTATTCTGCCAAAATTATGATGCCCAAAGAAAAGAACTAATCGATAACGCTTCTCGTATTCTCGGAGAAAATTTTGCAACTATTCACCTGACCGGAAATTCAACATGCTTATTCACGGAGATCGCTTGAGTGGCGAGGGCAGTCGTGATATGGCATACATCTTCCAAACCTTTTTAACTAAAACAAGCAGATTTTCGAAGTAATCAATTGATTTATTCAAAATTTCATCATGCGATCCCGTGAGCTAGGCGGCTGTTGGAACCATCAAAATTTATCGCTCATGAGCGACTGGCCAGCGGCGGCGGCGGTTGTTTCACATGTTTTATCTTATGTTTCAGAGTGGTGCCTCGAGTCAAGCGATTGCGCTTTTGCACCACTCTGCTATCACGCTTATGTTGTTAATTATTGTACTGTATGTTTCATTGATTATGCTTTATTTCTTATGTATGTTTGGTTCCTTAATAAACATTGTGTGTGTGTGTGTGTGTGTGTGTGTGTGTGTGTGTGTGTGTGTGTGTGTGTGTGTGTGTGTGTGTGTGTGTGTGTGTGTGTGTGTGTGTGTGTGTGTGTGTGTGTGTGTGTGTGTGTGTGTGTGTGTGTGTGTGTGTGTGTGTGTGTGTGTGTGTGTGTGTGTGTG